AAATGCAAGTAAAATTGTTTATACTAGAAGTTCACGTGTTTATGTCCATTTAAATTGAAAATTCAAATACTTATAAAAACATTGACATTTTAAAATAATAAATTATAATGTATAATATTGTAAAAATTATCTAATACTCTTAATAAAAACAAATTGTAATTTATATAAATAAAGATTCTGGATAAAGTAAATATATGTTGTTATAGAAAACAGTATTGGTTTTAAATAATTTTTAAATTGTAAATTATTTGTATACAAACAATTGTATAGAAAAATAAAGAAAGATTTTTTTTTTTTTTTTTTAACCAATCTTATATAAAAGATAATTGAAAGATATTATATTGCAATCTCTAAATTGAGTCAATTTTAATAAAAAGATTTATTGGTTCATATTATTTTAACTATAATTACATTTAATGTAATTTGTACTATTGTGGCTATTACACGTACTTACAATCGTTATGCAGGAATAAATGTTTAAAGCAATAATTGTTCGATGAAATTTGGATTTTATTTTTCATTGTATAAGTAAAATTTAAAATTATATTTGACAATAAAAATTTTTACTAAGATTGTATAAAATTTTCTCTAAAGCATTTTTAAATTTCATGATTGTTTTACATCGTGAAGTAAATTTTAATTATGTCATATAAAATGATTAAACTCATACTCATAATACAGAACAAAGAAAGTTGATATGCACTGAAACTAAATTTTTTATACAATCGTATTCGTTACGTTTTAGAAGAAGATTAAAAATAAGAACTGAATCGATTCAGTATTTTCAACAAAGTATCATGAAAAGAATGAATTTCCTATAAATTTATGATTTATTTATTGTACTTGTCTAACTTTAATGTAACATAAAATAATTTTATAAATACAATTAATAAATAAGTTCTATAAATACATATTAACAAATTAATTTCATTTCAAATAATATAATTAAGCGCATTGCCTTTATTATCTGATTCCTTAACACTATGATAAGTATTGTAAATAATCGCAGACAAAAGGGACGCATAAAAAGAAAGAAAAACAAAATGCAAATGTAGGTGATTTTAGAAAGTTCAATTACTCTCTCAATCTGCATATGGTTGGAAAATTATTGTAACCAATTCGTTTCATGTTTTTCATTTAAATCGTAAGTTTTGCGACAATTATAACTGTAAAATAACGAATATTTTCCTCCTTTTGAAAGCTGAAAATGCTTTTATTAAGTTATTAAGTACCAGTGAAAATCAAAATATCAAATTTATTTCAACTCTGTCTTTGTTTGTTATTGTTGAATCAATTAAAGTGCTTATATAAAATTTTTTGAATAACAAAATAGTATATTTAACGCATTGTACCGAAAAGAACTAAATTCATGAGCAATGAGCAATGAAGAATTGAGCACTTGAAGGGAATCGTCAAATTACTTTTGAAAATTAACTCAATGTAATTTAAAAATTCAATTGTTTAAAAAATTTGTGTAAAAATAAAGAGAAATACCCGTATCACTGTCTAACTTGACAAAATTTTTTAAAATATTTACGATTAAAATAACATCGTTAATAATATGTTTATATGCGTTGAAAATATATTTTAATAATTAATAGTGCAATCCCTTGTAAAACAACATTTAAAAGAATATAATTCGACGCGTAAATGATATATTTATACTAGGTATATTTGTAAAATATAATAATGTCGAGAATACGAAAAGTATTTAAACAAGTATTTTAAATGATCTAAAGAACTGGATTATTACTTCCATGAGTTTTCTTGTACCGTTGTAACTTTTTTAAAAAATTTTATTTATGTAGCAATGACTTCGATACCAAATGTTGTGTCCCTATATTTATATGCAGATCATATAACACTTCTATTTATATATTTTCCTGTATGCAATACGCATGTATAGCATGTATATTAATGAAGGTTCGTGTAAATCACGATTATAAACTATTGCGTTATTATAAATAATTATTTCATTAATTATGATTGGATTAGTATAAACAATATATTAAAATATGTATATATATATATATATATATCGAAACATGAGCATATTATTGAAAAAAGGGAAATATAGAATAATTAACTGACATCTCGTTTGTCATTTTACGTGAATGTGTATATTTGCGAGAGGGTGTGTATATGTATGCATGTGTATGGTGTCGATTATAAAATTTACAATATTCTTTATGTATAACGTCCGTTCAGTTAGGAAGCTGGATTTGAATGTGTAACGCGCGGACGCGTTTACGTCTCATCCTCTTTTCTCTAATACTTTATCCGTTTGTTGTAATAAAAAAATCTGCATACAGATATATAATGTCCATCTGCAAAAGGGATTGGATATTCGTCTCTGTCCCTCTCTCTAAATGAGCGTGCAATACTTTCAAATCTTGCAGTACTTTTGTAGCGGACGCAAAACTGTTAAACTACTTTCTAATTTTTGTGCAAATGCCCAAAACAAAGTATTAACGTTTAACGTTCGTTATTTAATTATAATTATCTTTGTCTTTGTAAAAGATATATTTGTTCTTACCATGTGAATATCGAAATAAAAAACAATTCTTTACAAATATGGTTATATCTGCTTTATAATAGCCTACTTCTTTTATCCTTTTTCCAATATTTCAGGTTTAGCACAGCACAAATTGTACACCAATATATAGTTATTTATAAAAATAATTTATTACTAATAAATTTTCATCAGTATACATAATTTATAATATAGTTGTTACATTTTAATAAGTAATATGATAAAAAAACATATGTTTAAAGATACATTGAAAGTAAAAAAGTAATTTTAATTGTAAATACAACACATTAGCATTAAGTATTAGAAAAAAATACATTCCTACTAATCATCAAATTATTTATGAAATAATTTTTCAATTAAAAACATAATTTAAACAAAATTATAAAAATCATTTAATGTAATCTCAAAATGGCTATTGCTCTACCTAAAGGGTAATAAATGTATTTCATCCAGTTTCATCATTTGCCTTGAATCACGTACCTTACTTAATATTTAAGCAAGTATTCGATAAATTTTAATTTATATAGAATGTATTAAACTTAACAAGTATACTATACTATACAACAAAATAATTTATTGGTTAAATACGTACGTACGAATAGTCACAAATTAAAAAAAATAAGTTTTTCAACTTTTTATTCAAAAACGTAATGTTTGAAAAATATTCTCTCAAAGTTTTAAAATGATGTAACAAATATTAAATAAATCGACCATTAAGAACGCGTTCATAGAAAAAATTGGAAAAAGATTAAGCGGTAAATTTCACATTAGTAATAATAAACATTCTTTCTACCTGTTTAAAAATTATCTTTGCTAAAGAATATTATTTAAAAATATTTTATGAATATTTTATGAAAATTTTATGAAAAATAATATAAAATAGTTAAAAAAAATTAGTCAAACTCTTGTTTGACAACAAATTGACTCTAAACGCAAGCAAAAAGTATTTATTTAATATTTAACATAGAGAACGATATTCATTAAATTTATATTTTAAAAATTTTTACTTTTGTAATCGAACTTATTAATTAATAAAATCAAAATATGAAATTAGGGTATCTAGATAAAACAATGAATTGAACATTTGCCGAAAAAATCTCTAACTTCAAAGCCAAATTATCAAATGTATTATAACAAATGAAATTTTAAAACCTATAAAATTGTAAATGCATTTTTAAATCTTGTCATAATTTAACTTTAATGAGAAAAGATTCTATACGAGTAAAAAAAAATGATTTAATGAGAGAAGATTCTACATGAGTAAAAGAAAATGATTATTTACATCATTATACATACTTATAAATAAACATTTCATCAAATCATTTTTTATTTCTTTATTTCATATGACCCAGGTAGGCGTAGCCGTTATAATTGTAAAAAGACTTTTTATAGTATTTTATTATATATAGTACATATTTATTTAACACTAATTTTACAAGTATTTATAAATATGGATGTAAACATTCATATTAAAACTCAATAAAAAATTTAAAAAATTGCCTTTATTTAACTTCCTGACTAGACTAGTCCGCTGAGATTCAACTAACAAAATTAATAACAATATGAATACGTATTTCATTTAGTTATATAAAGTTATAAAAACAATTTTCATAAATAAATATACAGGATGCTCTATAATTTGGCACAGATTATATTGTCCTTGATATATTACATATATTCGATTGCCTTCTTTTATATCATTAAATATAGAATAAAATTAAAATTTGATAATAATATGAATTTAAATAAATAATTTTTCACATAAATTGTGCTGTGTACATATTCCGAACAAATCGTATACAATAATAAAATATCATGATAAGTAAAACAATACTCACTACTAAGTAAAATATTGATTAATGTTTATACTGCAATTTACTAGCTTATCAATTTGTTTTAATATATTTAAGCTTTTAATCTTAATAAAAATTTAAATATTTTTTTCATAAGAAATACTACTTACAATTGATTTTCATAATTTAATATTCGTCGAGCTCACTGAAATCTGCAAACGATGAAACAATAAAAAATGAATATAAACATTTTATATTAAACTTTGATTGTTAAAAGATTAGATGCTAGTAATTACCTAGTAATTCAGTATTTTCAATTATCAAGCTCCAAAAGTATAAAAATACGGTATTTGCCAAATATTTCATTTGATTTTGGGTAAAGTTTTAAATGCTTATTATACGTAAATTAGTACTAATATCAACCAATATCAAACATTTGTTCATGTAAGCTGTCGAAAGGGTCGATATATATCTAATATAATTGAATATTTTTTGGTAGTACTGTTTAATACGATCCATAAACATTCTAAATATATAGATAAATATGCTTTAAAATATAACTTTAAAGAGATGTGTGCATTATATTTATAATATAATTTCAAGCCTAAAATATTTTACTTCAGTCTATAATACCTCATTATTTTTTAATAGATTTGTACGTGAAAAAAGTAAGTCTCAAATAAATTATTTGCATGTACTTGCTCCAATGTAATTTGTACTATGGGTCTAAGAAAATTCAGAGATAACTAAAAATGCTATCGAATAAGCTACCGAATTAACATTTCGCTTACAGCTAAGGCTACAAAATTATATTAAATCTCGAATAGCCGTTACAACACCTCACTGCCTCATTGCCTCGTATATTCAAAACCAAAGCAATCAATGCCTTTCCATTATTATTACACTGAGCTAGAAAGAAACGGAGATAAGTTTCATCTATAAGCATCGTTTTTCTATCCGTGAAATTTCTCTCGATTGGCCAAAGTCTCAGACGTGAGCCGATGACGAAATCGGTCGCTGACGGTGTCGTAAGCCCGGTGCGCGCACTTTGATCTTCTGTCGATTTAGGACACGAGGTGACCGAGACGTCACCCGGAACTCCACCGGCAGGTCGTAGCAACGGCAGATGCAGCAGCTCGGGAACTTGAACCAATCGCTAAAGATACCACGGCATTCGTTGTTTGGATCGTAAGCGAGCAGCCGATGTAATCTATATTGCTGCTCGCAACGACAGCCATCGCGACAATACATTTGCTTATTTTCGTGTCTGCGTGAAAAATGTTGTAATTAGGTAAAGCGCTTAGTAATTCATTGTCTCTATAAAATAATGAACATTTTTAATTGTGCATGTATTATACAACTTACATACATTGGACTTTTTATATATATGTCCATTTAGCTAGAAAACGAAATCTAATTGGCCTTCATCAGTTAATATATAAGCAATGAAGATTATATATATATAATAAAATATTTTAATAAAAATAGAGAATAATGAATGTAAGTATTATTATATAATATGTATTATATAATTCATTAATATTTTATTAAGTATTATTATACGTCGCTATATATTATGTACAAATGACGATTTCTTAATAAAATTTTGTATTCTTATATAGAATTTCTGTTAGATTTCATTTATATATAAATATGATTAAAAAAAAAAAAATAAAATTACATTTTTATCAAAATAATATTTAACATATTGTTATTGTTATTATATTATTTATTATATATTTATATATCATTTAATCTCTAAATGAATAATGGTAATTTTTTTTAATTAGCAAGCATAATCAAGGCCATTTTTTAAATAAAGATTTATATTGCTCATTTCTTACAATATTATCTAAATTTTGCCAAACGGTATACTTACGTGCATTTTTCCCAATGAACGTACTGTTCAAATGGATAAAGATTTAATAATGCAAGAACTTCTCCTCTTGTATTATTTGCCCAAAATGGTGCAACAACTTCTTCTTTAACGGAGCAAGCATTTCTGAAATTTTCAAGTTCTTTAGAAGTTATTTGAAACTTTCGAATTCTAGTAAACGCTTAGAATATATTGGACGCAGGCATATTGACCAAATGATATTTCAGCAAAGGGAAACTCGTAATGATCTTTACTTTTTGTAATATTGCCATTATATCGCAACTCTTATATGGAAACGCCAGGAGGAATTAATATTTTTGCAAACTATAAGCCTTATTTATGACATTACTTGCATTGCTTGCATTACTCACATTCCGCGAACTTGTAAAACAGGTGGATCGCGCTTATCCTTAGCAGCGACATCTTGAAATAGTTGCCCTTTCGTGGCATTTGTGGTCTCGGGCTTTACCAAATCCGGGGGTCTGTATTGTGGTCTCGGTCTAAATTGCTGGTACTCGTGTCGTTGATGCTGTGATGACTCGTTAATCTTCTCATTATTCTGCGACTTTGGATCGTCATCGTCGAAAGTATTTTTGCCATCGTTTGTTGGTTTTCTCTCGGTTGTTGAGCTGGACGTACCGTGCGCCGTCGAAATTTCTAAGTCCATACCATCGACCTGGGTATCTAAGACCGTCTCTGACAACAGGTCTGGTAACTCCGTAAGCTCCTCCACAGCGACATCCATTCGATCAATCTGTCCGGGAATTTCATTGATACTGAAATTCTGAATCTTCGCTATTTGAGCAAGACTAACAGCTGCTATTTTGGTGGACGAGCTTGCATCCTCCTCGCGTCCCTTGACTGTCGTCGATTGCGGCTGATCCGTTGACAATTCCACAGGACTGATTTTCATTCTATGCGAGAACGAGGTCTTACCAACGCTCGAGCTCGCCGTACTCGAGGAAGGAGTGTTATCGGAAGACTTTGAAAAAATCGATTGCGTCATTGCGCCGGCAGTCGGGGTCTCGTTCGGGTGCAATCGATATCCTATCGGGCTCTCATTGGATATTGGCTTGTCGAGTTTACTGGACGTGCCACTGTTCATGGATCGGGCCAGGTATTCGCGATTCGTCGATCTACCTTCCATCTCATCTGGCTTCGTCCCATCAAATTCATAGTCGTCCTCGAAATGAAATTGCTCGAAGAGTGAGCTATAAAAAGCCATGAAAATATAAAGGAATTGAATACTTTACCAAATTCGAGTGCTGTTAAAAATGCAAATTTATATTATTAATACGAAATTCGATTAATAATTGATAAATTCACGAGGTTAGTCCTTAATAGCAAATTAAAGTACTAAAATAATTTCAATGAATATAATCATTCCCGACGACCATGCGCATATACGAAACCGTACGTTCAATCATTTTATATATCATTTTATAACAACGGCGTGGGTAGCATTTAATGCCTTCAAATCTCATCATTGAGCGGTTCTGTAATTAGATACTGATACAACGACTTTTGTAACGATTCTATACCTGTCATCGTCCGAATAAAGATGATTATGGCTATCCTCCAATTCTAATTCAACCTCATTTTTCTCCAGTTCGGACTTTAAGATGCTAATATGTTTTTCATCCCCGTACATGCGTTTCATCAAGCCTTGATTTTCCTGCACGAATTTTCGAACTGCTTGCCTATAAATCAATATAATTTATGTTTGAAAAATTATTGAATAATTAACTCAATGCTGATTAAACTAGGATCAAAATTTTATAGAATAAAAATTCCATTGCTACTGAACTAGCAAGCAAGAATCGTGTCATAAGCCTACACACACACATACGGCCAATATGGACTAGCATTTACAGCTGGTTTTTTTTATTCGCATACTCAATTGATAGTTAATTACGCAATTTGAAATAATTGAAAGATAAAAAAAAAAAAGAGAAAGAAAGAAAGAGAAGAGAAAAAAAACAAAGTAAAAGGAGAAAAGTGCGGTAACAGCACAACTCACCATGGATATGCGTTGCCGGCAATGGTGCACCAGTTCTCCCGTCGAAAATCACAGGGCAAACTGTGGTAACGCATCCGACCTAACCGCGAGTATGGCTTACCACAAGCCGAGGAGGCATCATATCCAAAACTGCTTGGACCTCCTTCGATTACTGCCTCTCCTCCACGGGGCAGTCCCGCACTCAGCACCTTCACAGAAGTCACGAGCTCATGAGCTGATAATTCATATAATCTCGTAGATTTCCTTAACGAGCATCAAATTTCTTAAGGATAGTCATCGTTAATGGCTTACGGCCTGTATAAGTCGCGTCGTGTGGTTGTACATGGTTGGGAGATATACGAATTGAAGAAACATTGAGCATGATATGCCGCCTAATATTAGCATATTTTTATGTAATAATACGAGCATACTAATATGCAAACTGTAAAAAACCTCGATTAGCAATGTTTATTATTGACATTTAAAACGTCACAGGATTAAAATAATATTTGTTGATAATTTTACAATCTAGAATGCTTTTATACCAAAGTATTATTTTTAACATAAGAATTTTGAAAATCTTATGTGAGCTCACCTTAAGACCTCAAATTATTATACATTTAAATGTATATATATATATATATATATATATATACACACATAGGTTTCTTAAAAATACATTAGTTAGAAAAAATATTTTAATTTTTACAAATTGATACAATTTTTTGGCATTTCATTTCATTTCATTACTTAATAATATTAAGTAAAAATTATAAATTACATTATATATTTTTCTCAAAAAGTCGAGATATCTTTACTGATTTTATTAACTCTTAAAACTGATTGTTTTTTCAATTTAATTTTTTTGACACTTGGCATAAATAAATGTAGTTTGATATATTTTATAAATAATGTTAAATTTTTAATCAAGATTCTTATATATTTAGAAATTTCTATAAAATTTTTTCTTTCAAAAATCCATTTATATTACGTGCTTTGAAAATCATAATGAATTCGTCATAAATAAGCCTAAGTAGGCAAGTATTAAGGTCAAATTCTTAAATAAAATTTTCTATTTTCGCATAGTAAATCACTTTCACTTGAGACAAATATCATTAACATTCTCTTTTATTTCGATTTATCTACTAAAAGAACTAATGATAGTTAACGTACACACACACACACACACACACATACACACACACATCTTAAATTCATTAATTTTAAAAATAATTACTAAAGTTACCTGCTTGGTATAATAACGAATAATAATGCAAAGCAATGATATTTGTAAATAAACCGAAAAAATCATCGTAAGTACTTTATTGAATTATCGTGTTCACATATATAAATTTCGATCAATCTCGGATCGCATATTTCGATCTTTCAAATTACCAGTGCGCGCGTCTATCGCGCATTCCATCCCGTTGTATGCAAAACAAAAATAAAAAGTAAATTCAGCGCTCGGGAAATTGCAACTCAGAACGAAAACTTTCGAGACGATGCAACCGTTAAGGCAATCGATAAATTCGATCTCGCGTGCCAATGTAAAAGAGCGAAGTGATAGCGATAAGGCGAAAAATATATTATTTTCTCTCGACTCTCGTACATTTTTCTTACCAGCTTACATGTTAGATGTACATCGACATCCGCACGTCCCGTTACACCGGTTTCACCAATCTTTATTGCTTTTGTCAACGGCGTTCGTCCTCCGGCTTATCAGAGGATATTATCATACATTCAAGTCATTAATACACGCGCCGGTAACGATATTATCTCGCACTTAATGTACTATGATAAAGGCTCCGTACTCGCTGATTCTTTGCTCTTTCAATTTTTTTCTAATAGCCTGTGAAATTAATAAAAGTGTAAAAATGACGAATTTTTTTTCTCGCAAAATTTACGTATTTAATTGAATATTTATATGTTAAAAAAAAAAACTAATAAAATTTGATAACAAACTTTCTCAATTGATTAATATGCTTTACTATAAATTTATATTTAAATATTGCTATCTATCTTACTATATTACTATCGCTAATATTATTGTTCTTATTTGCAATGATTAGTATAATTTCCAAATTTATTTAAAGAATACAAGGCTTTAAAAATAATTTTCCGTTTAAAATAGTCTAAATACAAAAATTGGTGGACAATATTTATAGCTAATAGAACATTTTTCAATCATATGGCATTTATAAGCATTGACTAAATCACAGTAGTTCAAATTGAAATTTCGAGCAAATAGTCAATTTTGTAGTCCCTATAAATGATATTTCAAATATAAACACAAGCGTGAACGTAACGTATTTATAAAAATTACGAGACAACGTTCATCTTTATAAAAATATGCATTTATCCGTGAGTTAAATGTTTCTCGGCTAGGCTATCGGATTAGCTTGATACTCACTTCGCGAAAGCGCCACTCCCTTTATTCCCTTTGTTAATGTAATCGTAAGGCAATAAGCAAGAGGCCCACGATAGAAGATCTTACTCGAACTAACATTCCAGTCGACTTATCGCATCACTGAGCAAACTGAAATTTCACCAACCAATCTGCATAATCTATCACTTTTTATATCGTATGACGATAGAACACAGTCGGGAGGTCACAACGTGCGGGTTTCCCGAAGCCTCCCGCTTGTCCGGCCTTTCCGTCCTCATCGCCGCGGACTCAACGCAAAATTATTTATAATCAAGACGAATTACCAGAAGGAAGGCAAAGACGAGCTCGGAGCCCATAATGTCATTGGCACGATCAGCCGGGAAGGTGAGCGTTCTCGCAACTTGTCGAGCGCCGGCCTGACGGCAACGCAGACCTCGGACTAGGATGAGCCCGATCCTTAGCAAGCGAAGGACAGGGAGTTATCGGGAGAGAGAGAGAGAGAGAGAGAGAGAGAGAGAGAGAGAGAGAGAGAGAGGAGTAGATTTCACTGGTTTACCGGCTACTCTCCCTTCGCCTCCTCCCCTTCCTCCTTCGTCGTCCCACCCACTCCTCTTATTAATCTCGAGTTTCACCGTCCGCTGCAACGACGATGGATACGCGCCTGTCGCGCTTTCGTTTCGGGAACCGCGACCGCGAGGCTACTGCTCTTGCCGCCGCGCTGGCCTCCGAAAGAGAGCGGCCCCGCGATCCTGAGTAGGTCACACTGTGATTTACCGTTAGTCTAGCCGATAAGTATGTCACCGGGCCAGTCGACCCCGCCTCTGCCGCGGGGCCAGTAACACGAGGAGGCGCGATTTACTGACGCGTCCGGGGGACGAACGACTCCTGCCACGGCCCTTTCACGAGCTTGCAGATGCAGGTGTCTATCGAACGATAGGCCGAGTTTGATCTTTCGAGAAGAACCGGGCGCCCCGACTCCGGTATAGAATGAGCCTCGCGCTTTTTTATTATTAATAAGCAAGCTGATTTCAGATTTCATGTTGCATTGCGCAACTTGCAATCGAAGCTGATGATAATCAATTGCTCGGACGTTAGATTCCGCAAATTAGATTAGTCTCTCCCGCTATATTCTTAAATCGCCGAACGAGGCAACTTAGTAAATGAGCTTATTATACGTGATTATAAAAAGTAGAAACTTACTGCGCAGGACAAATTACTGTTTTACGTACTCCGTAACTGCATTTCAAATGACGTACATTTTTTATTTATTATGCTTTATTATTAAGCTCCGCTTATGCTGAATTTGTTCATATACGTAGCTGCAATAAATAATTCATATAGATAATACTGTAATCGTTCGTTTAGAGTACTTTAACGATTTGCAATGAAGCTGTAATTTTATTATTAATGGTCCAGCGTAGTGTTCGCTTATATTGAAAGTTATCGTTGCCTTCTCCAACTATGTGTATTTTTCACATATTAGCTTTTAAAGTTTCGCATATAAGATATTATACATTACATATAAAGTTTCTTCATCTTGTTCAATGGATGCGATAGATATTAGTTTATCTTTTTATCTTTGTTAAAAAAAAAAAAAAAAATGATGGACTATATTTTAGATGGTTATTCATTAAAAAGTAGCTACGCATATTTGAAATATATATATTTAATATTAAACTACAATTCGTATTTGATTTGAGTTTCATCAGAATGTAAATATTAAGAATTACAATTTTTCGAAATGAAAAATATTTTTCTTCTTTATTAATTTTACTTGCTCCTTATTTACGCTTTACAAGTATTGGCATGTAAATTGTTGTTGTAAAGAAGAGATCTTATCAACATCTTTTATCTCCGATATCAAAAAATAGAATTATAATATTGTAAAAGCATTCGATAATTATGACATAAAATTTTTGTGTTCTCCGCAAAAACATTACGAATTACTTGACTCGCAGAAACCCCAAGCAAATATCACTACTGAAGCTGTCAATCTCTTTAGCTGCACGATATACAAATCACTTGCTTGAGATTCTTGATTTTTTATAAAATTATTACAAAGCAAAGAGTCAAAGGCTGTCATATTATATGACAGTTGTAGAAACTGTATAAAAGCTTATGATAATACTTCATTAATAATATTTTCTTTCAATATTTTTGTTGTCAATAATAATTACTTGTATTAAAACATAATATACTAATTAATACAAGCTAAATGATATTTAGTTTCGATATTATTTCTTATTATGAAATTAATAAATTCACACTTAATTAATTGGCATAGTTTATGTTTTCATGTTTTTTTTTTTTTTTTTTACTATTAATTATTTTCAATCGCTTGTTTCAACAATATTATATTCAATATTAAATTATTAATTTTTATTATAATCAATTAAATAAGTCATTAGACTTTTTAGACTACAATAAATAAAGTTAATTTTTAATTCAGACTAAAGTGAGTTCAATAAATATTTTAATGGTCTATATTGACTAGATCGAGCATACCATGAATCCTAGGATAAGTTATTGATAAATCAATTGTATACATTTTAATCAGTAGTCACATTTAATTCCCATTTTTTTACTGTGAACATACTCAACGCTACTGTAATGTTATAATTAAAAAGCTAGTCTATGTATATCAAATTCAATATGTTATTACATAATGCCATTATAAATTAATACAGTTCCAAATATTGCTTCCTGTTATTATTCCACGTAATCTATTAACTATTTAAATTGATTTTGGAACGAATAACTATTAAAATATTCAAAATCATTATATTAATTAACAATTATATTAATATATCAACAATTATATATTATTATTATTGAGATATTATCACGATTTTAAATAAGACAGACAGTAAAAATAATATTACATGTGTTAAATTAAACAGAATTAAAATATTAACATAATAGTTGTAATGAATTTTAGCGAATCTTCCTTTAAGCGAATACTTTTCATGCAATGTTTTCATCCAGGAATCTAATGCACATATATGTTTATAAAGATTTGTAATATTAATTTTGCAAAATTACTGTAAACATAAATGTTTCGTATAAATACTAATTGCTCACATAAGAATATGAGTCGCATAATTTTGTTTTATTTTGCTTTCATCACATTGAAGACTGTGACCTGTAACTTGGCAATAAAATTTATTGCTAAAACTTTCGTTATACCCGGTGTAGTAATGCATTATCTACAAAACATCAATGATCTAATGTTAAAATGATGATTATAAAGTTAATCTTATAATTATATTTATATAATGATTTTAATTTACTCTTAATCAATTAATATATAACGAATGCATATTTGCAAAAATGCCCATTCAAATGACTTACAATCATGAACTAAGGATCAATATTGCTAAAACAGCAGTGAGTAACAAACATTGTTTGTTACTTGCACAAACGATACCAAACAAACAAGGCTCGTTCGAGGCATGCGCAATAGATGTCTGAAATCTAATTTCGTTTAGCTTATTCGAGTGCACACAATTTAAAACAAAAGTCACAAAGTATTTTGTATTTATGAGAATTATCGAACTCTATAATAATTCTCTTATTGTTTTAATTTTTCTGTTTCAATTAATATTTAAAAAAATGTGTATTTTTCATTCAAGATTTCTTGATTAAAATTACATTAATATTAATAATATTAAGAAATGTAAATAAAATTACATTTTCAATAATAATTGCATCAATGATAAAATACATAAATAATTCATAATTATATGAATATATTCCCTAGTCTTATGTATTTATTATTTTTCATTTAAATCTTAAAATTATCGATATTTTTATTTTTGATTAAAAATACATTCATCCCGGGATTTCTTATTATGAAAAGTTAATTACGGAAAATAACGAGGTGTTATTTAAAAATTCTTTCAAACTTCATTATGTATTTCATTTCATGTCAATAGACTTACGCATTCGTCGCACGCCCTCTACGTTACCAATGCCAATTGAACATTTTATGTTACAATCTAAATAGCAATTCAGGTAAATATCACATAATTTTTTTGTTGTTTACGATTTTGATATTTCAAAAAAATACTTTCACCATTTTTGTGTATCTTTTAAAAAGTTTTTTAATTAATATCTGTCTTCAATTTTTCCTCTAATGTTTATTATTTTTTTGTATGTTTAGCAGAATTGAAAATAATGGCATTGCAGGATAATGTAGACGATGTATTTCTAAGCTACAATAATTCTCTTATTCGCCAAGGAGATGTAAATCTTTTACGTGGACCTTATTGGTTAAACGATACAATTATAGGGTTTTATTTTGAATTTCTCGAAGATAAATATGAAGCATTAATGCCTGAAGCCCTATTTGTATGTCCAGAATTAACTCAACTGTTAAAAGTTACTGCTTCAAATGAATATTCTGCCTTACTTGATCCAATTAAGGCAAAGGAAAAAAACTGGATTTTTTTCCCTCTGAATGACTGTAGCAGTCTGGAAAGGCCAGGTGGTACACACTGGAGCTTATTAGTATTTTCGAAAGTTGAAAAATCATGCTTTCATTATGATTCTTCGAGAGGTTTAAATACATCCATTGCCAAGGACTTGTCAAAAAAAATTATGCATTATTTATTGGGCAATAGTGATGGAAATTTTATTGAAATCGATTGTCCTCAGCAAGACAATTCGTACGATTGTGGTTTATTTGTACTTTATTTCGCAGACAATATTCCAATACATATTCAAAAAAAATTGAAAATTAGCTTTGATTTTGAGTTTATTCAGGAGGAAATCAGTTATTTTCGAACAGTTCTTTTAATTTTAGTGCAGAAATTAAAATACCAGCAACTGTAAATATACTTATTATATAAATTGATTAATATTTTTACTCTTAAATACTAATTTTTATAAAAAGAGGATAAAACTAACTTATGTACATATATCGCTGTAATAATAATAAAGTAATAACGTTAAAAATAAATAAATACTTATTTTCATTTGAATGTTGAAATGAAAATTGATTCCCTTGTATTAAAAAATTTTTATTTTTAAACTATATAGCAATATTTAACTCATTGATTGTTATCATGAAAAATCTATCATATTTTTATTAATAGTATTATTTAATATTAATAGTATTTATCAATATTATATAGAATATTATATTATATTCTGTTTAATTAGTCGAAAGGCTTAATATAAATGCTGTATTCAATAAATCTCTAATTATTCGATTATAAAATTATCTATAGATTTTTCTTATTAAAATTATGTATAGAATTTATTTATTTTAATATTTTAATCATTGATATAAGAAAAATTATGGGAATCGAAAATTTTCAGAATTAGTTGGTAATTCAGGGATCTTCAAAAACAAGTGATAATTTATGGGAAAGTTGATACATTATGATCAACGATAGCGGTTCAAACTAGCTGTTATTACAAATTGAGTATAAGTTCACGATTTCTCTCATTTGTAAGAAACTATAATCCTAATATATATGTATGTATATGTATATTTTTTACTAAAAAAAATTGATTTGTTTTTTAACTTATTGGAGCATAATACCATATTTTAACATATTGTTATACAGTACAGTACCATTAAGGTTTTTATCGAAAATACGAGACGCAATGGTCGTAATGCATCGTGAACTTCATTTGGAAGAACACCATATAAGATATATTGAATCAAACTACAATATTGATGGTGATTCGGTTGGATTCGTTTTGGGACAGGTTAAACTTATAAATAAATTTTTTTCACTTAACTCTTGGAGCAGCTGTTACATTAGTTGCTTTGAATTTTATTAATCATTCATAATTGTCTGTATTGTAAGCCAAAACTATGATAATACATTTATAATTCTCATGAATTACTTTATACCAATAATTTACTTTACAACAACAACAACAACAATAATAATAATTGTTGATTATAAAGTTATTTGTACTTTATATTCTTTATAATCGATAGAAAATAATGATTTGTATATGTTTATATACTTTTTTAATATTATTTTTATACTGTAGAAAGGAAATAAATTTTTAATAGAAAGCTCTTCTAAAACAAAATTTATTTACATTTAAAAAGTATAATATAAAATAATATTATTTTTTTAAATGATTGATTTTTGTATTATGATTGTATTATATTAAGATGAGATATTTTAATATTATACAAATAACTTATGTATAAAAATACTGTTATGCTTATTATGTAATGAATAAAATTATATTTCAAAATTTTTTAATTTTCAGAGTATTACCAATCAAGATTATATCTTTCAATTCGTAAAAGCGGGATCAATATGTACAAATGCAGGAGGTGACTTAGTAACTTCATTTAATCATGTCTCATATCATGCCATCCTTACTGCAGCAAAAGATGTACAATTAATTGGATAATAATTAAAACAAGTTTCTTAATGTAATTTTGTATTAGTCTTTTTCTAAATTAAAACTGTTTATTATTTGAAGGTATATTCTGGTTTGCCAAGTGGAATGACTGTCTTAGGAATATTCACTAATGGTCCTGGATTCTGTAAATTAGACAGAGAAAATGAAATGAAATATTTAAAAATTATAGAAGCTATAAATGAAGCATTAACATCAGCTGCGCCAAATTTACTAGGCTGTGGGAATCCTGAGTTTCTAGTATTAAATTGCGAATCGTGTAAAAAGTATATTTTATTTTATTACATAAAATTGTATTACTTAATCTTATATTGATTAAAAATTATTTATAGTATTAATTGTAAATCAGTTGATTTACGTAATAAACATCCACAAGAATTTTCTCCAGTTGATGTGAAAATTGAGAAGGAACCTACCAAATGGTATCATATGGAAAGTGCAATTAATTTGGATTATGTTATACCACTTCCTTATCAGGATGTTAGGGAGGACACCAATTTAGTAATATTCTATTTACTTGAAATTTTATTTTAATCTTAAATTGTAATTATTTTTATAACAATTATATATTTTATGTTTCAGTATTTATTAAATGAATTTAATAACATCATGCGTTCTTCTATTGTACTTATTGATGGTGAATTGAGACCATATTTTTCAAAATTAAAATCAATTTTCAAAGAAGACACTTTTAATGAAACAAAATACTGTCCTAAGAAAGAAAATGAAAAGAAGAAAAATGAAACAGATAAAAATGAAAAGGAAAAGAAAAAAAGTGAAACAGATAAAAATGAAAATGATGTTAAAACTATTCAATGTGAAATTTATTCATCTTATGTAAGATGTCATTGAAAAACTAATTAATTTTAATTTTAATAATTATTTTAATTAAAGAAAATTTAATTCATTTTAGATATTTTATTATGCAGTATAATATTTATTTTATTTAATTTTTGAAAATTTACGTTTTTTTTTAATTATCGATTGTAATTTTACAAAATAATGACTATAGCTTAATTATTTTTAATCATAAAATATAACTGTATTTTGATGTTTTATGTAAAAAAAAATATATCATTTTGAACTGTTTATCAGGATTTAGGTAGCAATGAAATTGACGAAATACTAACATTGGATTACTTAGTGCAATTACGTGGCCGACTATTTAGTAGAGCTGTTTGCCATGAATCACTTTCAATTCAAGATGTAGTGCACTATATAAAATATGATTATCTGAGAACATTGTTGACTAGAATTCAAGCATATCAGTGTATTCTAAGGAATTGTAATGTAGAGCAAATATATGCAAATACTGAAAGTAAAGTAAAATTAACATTAATGTTATAATGGATAATATTAATTATATCAATAAATTTTTATGAATTGTTACAATTTTTTTTTTCAGAGAATATCGCTCTCCATCAGCTACCAAGACGTATTTTAATACAATTACCTCCATATAAAATACCAATATCATTATATGTATACCCTAATGATCAATTCTATAAATCAATTGATATGACTGATATCTTACTACGATTATACAAACCATCAGAACTTGTTGAAGTAGACATGGAACAAATAATTGGTAAATCTTGTTCATAATTTTGTAATTGTATCATTTGTAAGGTCTAAAACAGTTACTAATTAAAAACTCCTTACACCTTATCATTTAGTAATTTAATTAAAATACAAAAATAATTTTTAAATATTACTTACTGCAGATAAATTATAAAACATAACAAAATTTTAAGTAGTGTTATAATTAATTACAAACAATTGATATTTCTTTTGCTTATACAGATGAATCACAATTACCATGGAATCAATCACAGTCTAAGCAAAATACAGTAAAAGCTATTCATATGGACCAATGCAAACAACTAATACCAAGTAATCAATTTATATTATATACGTCAGGTGTTATAGCATTAATCATTCTAATATTTGCAATTTTGTTACACCAATTATATTCTGAGAAATAGTAATAATTATTTGTAATTGTTATTACTGAAATACAAGAATGTAACATCCTATTCTGTATGCAGACACATACGTATGCGTACAGATGCATTTGTACATTATATATGCTTATACGATTTAGACAAATTATACGATACTTAAGTTTTTACAAATGCTGATATGCAGTTTGCATAAATTAAAAAACAAAAAGAACTTTACTTGTTTGGTTATTAATATACCAATAGATTTTAAATAACCAAATAACAAATAATAATATGGAATTGTATGATAAAGTAATGCAAAAAAATGTTGCATAATAGTGAAGTGTTATTTTTTAATTGTCAAAGGATTTAGATATTGAAACATTTCTTAAAAATCAAAATTTTATCATCTACTTTGTATTATTGCAGTAAGTAATCTGCAATCTGAAATAATGTAAATATATAAAGGTAATCTTTCAACCAATTCAAATAAAGGTTATATAATTATAGGTATATAAAAATTGTATATAGAGAAATTTACTCTTATTATTTATAATAATATTTTATAACAAGATTCTAATATTAATGCTTTTATTTATGTTACTGATCAATAGAATAGCTGCATTTCAAATCATCAATGTCGTATGTAATAACCATTACCATTGTTAAAACTGCATAATTAACTTTTCTACAAATAATTTGAAATACTTACTTTTTCTTTTAAACAAACTTATTTGTACAATTCACTTTTTTTTATTTTCCATAGCTAAACAATATTTAGGGCATTAAAAATGTCTTATCTTAGCATTGACACAAAAATATTTAAATATAACGCAGAGATAAGACCTCCATTAAAATCTGTCAATTGCATTCAAACATTTATCAAATCAAATTATTAAAACATTCTATAATCTAATTGCAGCTTACAACCAATTTGAAATTCCTTAAATAATATGTTCTGGAACCTAGAACCTAGATTATAATATTTAAAAGTACTTTTACGTCCCAATCCACTAACAAAACCTATTGATTATTAAAATTTGGATACTCCTTTGCAAGAAACCTTTGTATATATTATCTCATTCTTGGTACAACTAATGATATTTGAAACTAATTGATATTGGGCCTTTTAAATGATAAGAATAAGTTTATCATTAAGAAAAATTTGAAAAAAAACAACAGATTAAACTCAACTCAATGATAAATGTTGCAACCCCTTATAATAAACAATTAAATAAATATGTAAGCTTTTGTATTATGATAAAAGAAAATAATATTAATATGCTTAAATTGTACAAATATAAAATAAAAGCGAATTCAAATGCAAAATAAAAATTTGTTTCATTTATACTAACATTAGAATTTTACCTAAAGTACATTTGTTTTAACAAAGATTTATCATGCGTGTATAAATGCATATTAAAAAAGTATAAAAAATGTTTGTATCAACAATATTGCAAATTTTTTATTTCAATTAATATATAATTAAATTTTTTTTAATAAAAATGCGTATAAAAATATTTTAAGTATCGAAAACAAAATTAATCTATAATAAATTTAGATTAAAAATTTTAAACAATTATGCAATTATGTTGTAGTATAATACTAGTCACGTAAGATTTATCTAAACTTATATAAACTTACTTGATATTTAAATATAATAATTATACAGATAGTCACTAAATACGTACAACGAGTGTCTGATTATTAATAAATGTAATAAAATATTAAACAACATATTTCATTTTGTATTATGCACCTTCATAATTTCATTCTTTTTCTATATAGAATAAGCATACTTAAATGCCCGATAATAATATTAATTTTAACTATTTACATGTAAATAAGAATGAAAATATATGTCAATTTTGAATAAGTAAAAATATATTATATGTATACATAGTGATATTTAAACTATATTTTATTTTAAACAACTTCCAAAATTAATAAATAATTAAATAATTTTCAATTCTGATAATTAAAAATTACTTGAATATATTTTCATGTATAAATAGTTAAAAATCAGAATTTTATTTTACAGTAAGAAGCGTTACATAGTAGGTCAAATCTATACGAATTTAACAGTATATATTTAAAATATTTTAATAATTTGTCAACGTACATCAATAAATTGCCTGTTCGACTAATGTCTTAATTTACTCACAATATTAATTAGGGCAATTTATTTATTATAAATCCAACGATATTCTTTATAATTTATTATTATCTAAATTCATATTTCGTATTTTTAATGAATATACAGTCGAGTCTTCTATTCCTAATTAGAAAATTTCAATGAACACAATTCTAATACTTTCATCTAACAAACATAAACATGCTGATCAAATATTTGCATACTATTTAACAAATATTTAAATATAATAACAAACATTTTATATATATTTTATTTTCAAAAATGATTTATACCCTATTATACATTTTTTAGCTTATTATATTTTATACAATTTTTGTACACTTTAAATGTTTATAATATATTTACCATGTACGCTTCATTGGATTAACTAAAGTTTATGAGAAACCAAAAATTTCATATATGAGAAATTATATCTAAAATATCGTGCATGTATTTTGATATTAAACTATCATATATGAAATGTTTAAATTGTGTTGGTGGAAGACTAAGTACAATTAAGACAGAGTATTAAAGTAATAAATCTATATATTAATTACTTTAATATCAAGAGATACAATAAAAAAAAAAATAAAAAAAAAAACAGTTCCAATCTTAAAGTTATTAGGCATATATAAAGAAACGTAATTTTTATTAAAAGATATTTCTTATTTTCATTATTTTTTAAATATATACATTCAGCCTTAATATAAAGCTTGTCGTTTCTATTCGTTTGTATTAAATATAAAAGATCTACTTCATTATTTCATTTCAGTATTTCTAAGCAATTATTTTTCACTAAAAAATTTACCCAATGTATACGATTTCTAAATAAAATCTTAACATACATATTTTTAAAACCAAAATTACATATTTTCATTCCATTTTAAACGATTTATGATTTGTAAATATTAATACGTGATGATATTGAAAATATAATCAGTTTAATAATTGAATCGTACGAATAAGGTAAATTTTTCTATAGATGAAAATGTAAAAATATGTTTATACAAATAATCCATAAACTTATAATAATCATCATTTAATATCAAATAGTGAAACTTTCTATATCCCAATTATTAAAACCTTATACTAAAAAACATTGTAAATATTAATATAATATTGATTAAATATCGTACCATTATAAAATTATAATTATGAAATATTTTGTTTAAATCTTCAAAAGTCCTTTTACTATAATTCGGTCAAGTAAGAAAATCAACAAAATTTTGTTGTTTTTAAAAAAATCAAATTTCAATATTTAAAATAAAGAGATTTGGAGAATAATTCGCATTTTCCAAGATTTTGTCTTTATTTGTCGATTTCATATACTTAATATTTTATTAATTTATTATTCTCTTCATAAGCACGTACATTAAACTCTCAATTATTATATAAAAATATATTACTGACCATATGAACACACATACATAACACCATATTTAAATAACAATGCTACTGAGAAATCTAATGAATATAAATTTGAACAACTGTTTAACAAATAATCCCTAAAAGAAGGTAAATATAAATATATAATTATCACTATTGTTAAGGTATTGCCTTACTATAAATGCATTAATGGTTAGATAATGGAAAGTTTGAAAATGAAATTATATATCTCAAGTTATTGAAAGAATTACAAAGAGTCATTTTAATCTACAAATAAATGAAGGAAAACAGAGAAATACTTTAAAAACAAATTCAAATAACTATGTAATTTTGACAATTAGTATCCACTTCATAATTGTATTAAGTAATCAAAGAGCTAACTTTTATTTTCAAATCGTATATTACAGGTTATATTTCCCATCTGTGTATTATTCTTAAAACAATTCTCTTTAATAAAAAAATGTTGCTTTTAAACATTTGCCATATAACTAATGTATAAAATATATTGTAAAAAATATAAAAAAATTATAATGTTCAAACGACTAGGACTAATGTAGAATGTACGTGTTTCCAATGCCATCTAGAGTTCCAAGGAATTTCAAATTAAGTAGATAATACTCTTGGCGATACTTGACAACGAAAAAAATATGCGTTTTAATGAAAAATACATTAAAATATTTATCAACGTCAATTAATAGTGCTTTTAGTTTGTTGATAATTGAAATATAATTTGTATTGCCAAAATAAAATAATTTAATCAACATAATAATAAAGTTTTAATAATAAGATTTTTTATTTAAAAGAGAGTTATGTTTAAAACAGAGTTATCTTTTTGCAGTAATTAAAAAGATTTTATACATTGTTTACTATATTCAGAAAAAATCTGAAACTAAACTAAAAGCGATTAAATAATAAACTGTGCGTTTTTTATTTAATATCTAATATTACTAACGAAAAAATTCATATCTATCTATTGTATGCCAGTCAAAATAAACTAATCAACTTAAAAACTATATTTCACATATGCAATATTCCATTCTCATTTGGAAATTTTCTTCTTTTACACAAATATTTAGTAAATTAAATATTTGTTAATAATTTGTGTCTATCAATAAATATACTGTTAAATAATGTTGATTATACAATGTAACGATAACTGAAATGATAGCTACTTGGTGTATAGTAAAACTAGTTCATGAAATTTTTGCTCTGAATAATAATAGGTGTGACGAAATGAATAGCAAGTACATTCTATGACATAATCGTTGTAATTGAAAGAGAAATTGAAGCGGAGAATCAGTAAAAACCAGATCGAACCAATTTTCCTGGCCAAAGCTTCGTTAAGGCATTCATCCCTCGTGTTCACGAAAATTTTCTAATCAAGATACACGTGATACAAACATTTTGCGGTATTGTAAAAAAAAAAAAAAAAAAAAAAAACAGATAATAAAAATGATCCTAAGTTATTTCTCAATTTTCCATCACAGTCTTCTCAAATGGCGCCTAATTTTATTAATCCAGCTTGGCTACCTCGACCAATACTAGCTTCTTCGAGGGAATCAAGATCGAGGGCCGATTCAATCATTGTCGTATCTTGAAGAAGCCTCAGCCGTGATGCCGAGAGCGGCGTCATGACAGTTGCCACGGGTGGCAGTCCTGGCGATTCGAGACCAGCCGTCGAGAGGACGGTGCAGCCGGTCTGACGTATCCCCGGTGCTGGTAATGGCTCTATTTCGTCGATATCGATGGGTGCGAGGTTCAATGAGGCTAGCGGTACCTCGTTCGATACTATTTGACTCGAGTTATTCACCACATTACCTGTAAATAATTCAAAGCGAATATTAGCTAATTAACAGTTGCTAAATTGAGTCTATCATTGCTAACTTAATCCAGAAAAATATTCGATAATATTCTTTAATGTGAATTCGATAAAATTTTGAGAGGTAAGCGAAATTAAGAAGACAAGAAAATTATCGATAAGTTATGTATTTGTATTTTTCTGGGTTTTAAAGAACAAAAAATGGCTTACTTTAACCTTTCTTTTACTTTCAAATCTATTTAAATTATATAATATTTGTCAAAATAGGAATGCCATTTTTAATTTATACCTAATAGATATAAGTCAGAACTTAAATATTACAATATTTTAATTTGACGGCCAATTTTACAAGTTTTTATTTTGATTTTCAATGTTCCATACAATTTTCTGGGTAATCGATAAACCATTAGATACATATTCTTGTAATACTGTATTGATTATCAGAATTAGGGCACATATAAGTTGAAAAAAAATTACTATTATTTCAAAATGCTTTTTCATATTCCCAAAAAATATTTTAAAAAAATGAATAAGATATAGAAGTTAAAGTTATAAATACAATATCTAATAAAGTTCAATGCCTTAATTTATATTTTATCATTGATTCGGTAATGAATATTTACATATAATTCGATACTTTCAGTTTTTTTTTTTTTTATATTAATATAAAAATTTCCAATGCTTGTTCAGTAAATGGTATGAATTTAATTCTATTTGTCATTTATGCCCTTTAATTTAAATTATAATAATAATTAATGCACATACATGTAGAAAAAAGTATGGAATTTATTACTTCGATACTTTTGCATATATTTTGATTAATTAAATTAAAACTATATGTTGAAATCCGAAACTATTCTATTTATTATAATTTTAGTAGTATATAGTAAATAATTGGATAGCCATTTATTGTTCTTACATATTCAATGTACAGTTGAAACATTTTATTTTTACTATTTTCATAGATATGATATTCAGTTAAAATCGTTACATTTATATTTTTTAATAGAGAATATAGATCGTTGAAAATTATATATTTTCTAGTAATAAAATATTTTATGGGAAATGTATTGCAAATAAAATAAATCAATTGCAATCGTTCATTTTCAACTGCAAACGAAAATGTAACAATTTGTATTTGTGTACAATTTTTATGATACAATTAGATTAATACATTATCTGTAAAAATTGATACTAATTAAACTGCAAGAAATCTTGAAATTTATATATATATATATATATATATATATATATATTTGTTTTCTTCTTTTGATTAAAGATGATTTTATGTAAAAATTGTACACAAAATGAGTGAAAATTATCTACTTGATGAGTGCATTATTTGAAATTGCATGATTATTAAATAAATAAGGCTTAAGTACAAAATAGAAAACATAAAATATTGCGTTTCTGTGTTCACAAATAAGTGCATTAATATACATGTAATAACCTGAATCATAAAAATATTGTAGATCTAACAAATAGATTATCAATTTCTACTTTTAAAATTTAGTGACACATATATAAGTATATTTTATCAACGGATAGCCTATTAAAAATAGTTCATAGGGCTTTTATAGTATTATGGTTAGGGTCCGATTAAATATCGATTATTTTAATTGCATACATCGATTAAATTACACAAGAATTTTTTTTTTCAATTAAAAGATTTTATATACATATACTTCTGTACGTATAATTTACAATTCGCGTGATGATAGAGTAAATTTTTCTTTAATTTTCAAAAGCCTTTGAAATACAAATATAGCTTCAGTATTTTGCAAATTTTAGAATAGTAATATTTAAATATCGTATTAATATTAATAATATTTCATATAAAACCGAAGAATAATATATTTACTTTTTAATAAAAACATTTTAATTACGTTCAAAAACTTGATACGAATTGGAATTTTTACGAAAAATCAGTCCAAAAATACAAAAATGATAAAGTTATTTATATAATTGAATTGCAAAAATTTACAAACTTTCAACCATCGTCAAATGGTTTGAATATTTATAAACTACTCATTATAAGCTATTTTTTTTTTCTCTAAAAAAACTTAAATAAAAAAACACAAAAAACTTAACAATTTGCTAATAACCAATAAACAAAATAAACTACATTAAAAATCTAATTTTATATTATGTTAATTGGCCAATTCACCTATATGTATTAAAAAAAAAAATAAAACAATCAATGTATGGGGATGCTTTCATATGTGAAAAATAAACTTACCAGGCTGTATGCACCGAGACCTCGTTTATCGGATGAAATTACAAGCAACAGAGAAATAAGATTTATAGAGTCATAAAAACAGTAAAAAAATTGTATCTATAAATTTTACTGTAATTTAATTATGTCATTGTATCAAATTTAACTTATACTTGATATTTATATTATTATTTATAAAGACTAAATTAAACGTGTAAAGGAAAATTGTAAGAAAAATTCAAATTAACTGAATTAATCATTCGGGACTATAAAACAGATTAAATTTACATTTAGTTTTTGAGATTCCGGAAGTATATATACGACTATAAAATTAGTATCGTAAAATTTATGAATAATAAGCCAACTCAATTAATCAACATCATATGTTGGAAAAAGTTTTTTCTAATTAAAATTATTTAAAAAAATTTGTGTTTCATATTTTGCAAACATTTATATTAATGTTGCCTGTTATCTTTAACAAATAAAATAAAATCCTGGGCATAATGTAAACCTACTCACTAACAATTACTTTTCAACGAAAATTGATATCAACAATGAAGCTACTTCTATATTATGCAATATTTTATGAAAAAATGAGCCTTTATAATTGTAGTACTACATTTTATATTCTATAAAATAAATTGATGAAACAAAAATATCCTACAACTGTTAACATGATGTATAACATAATAAATTTTCACATTTGACGAATATATCTTGGCTAATTATAGTTTATTTACAATGGTAAAATGTTTGTTTTATAATTATCAAATAACCAATTATTAAAATTAATTACTTATATTCGGAAATAAAATTATATATAATTATAAATCCTTAGATGTGCAATATATATTTGTTCGCGTAAATACTTCTAGAAGAATAGCATATTTATTACTAAAAATGTCGAATATTTATACAGGATAATATCATATTTTTTCGTCAGATAATTTAATATCAAATGTATATCAAATAATACATCTTGCAATAAAAAATAAAAGTCTAGCAATTATTAAAATTAAATATAATTAAAAAAAAAATTATTAAAAAATAAACTATAACTATTAATACGATAACAACAATTTTGAATTAATAATTAACATTTGCATACGTGACTGAATTAATCGAAATTAATTTGAATAAATTTTACAAAGTAGTTATAAAGAAATATAAAGATTATATATACTACAGTTTGAAAAAAATGTCGTATTAAATCTAATAAATATATATATATATATATATATATATATATTATTTTAATTAAATTAATTGTGCAACAGACTATATAAGCAGGATTATTTCCTTTTTCTTACGATAATGAACGAATTTTCATTGTAAACGTTTTGAGAAAAATATAATAATAACAAGATAGCACATAAACTACGATTTGGCTTGAAAAATTAGGTAATATTGCATTGGAACGACTATTATAATTTCTTTAAAAATTCGTATAAAATTTTCCCATTTTCATATTTTATGATAGATTTATTGCAGAAAAAATATTAAAATATGTTTGCTTTTATGCTTTCGCTATCTTTCGGTATAGATGAAACAAAGAGAATTTGATAAAGGCACATAATCGTATTTGGAGAATATAACTATGAATTATTGCAAAATAATTAAATATTCTTAGCACACATGAATTGAAAATTCAATGATTCAACCATATGTAATGACATTGTAATGCAAACGGGTATTAAGGAAACTATTTAATATTTAATATTACATGCACGTAGGTAAATGCTAAACATAATAAAATTAAATACTATTTGTTTTAAATATTATGGTTAAAAATATTTACAAGAAATACGTATCTAAATCAGTTTGTAATTTCAAAATTATTCAACAAGATTAAATTTTAATAATAAAATTGTTCAACAATATCAAGAATGTCTACTAGATAATTAACTTTGATATTCATTTTATTTTACAATTATTACCTTTAGTTTCATTTTTATTTAAATATAAAAAATTTTAACAAATATTTAAGTACTATCTATAATTATATATAATTTTATCTTTCTTTTAAAATAAATTACATAAAATCATTAATTATCACCATTTTCAGAACTGCCAAACCAAAGATATATCCCTTAAATTTAATTATCACATTTTACTTAATATTTTGTATTTACAATTTTAAAAAGGATTTCCAGTTGTTAATAGTACTAAAGCCTTATATTTAAGATTTAAAACGAATAATTATATGAATAAATAATTTTTTGATATCGATTAATGTTCAATATAAAATATGAAATCTTTGGAGTTAAAATCTCAATGATACATGCAAGAACGCATCGAAGTTGCACACAACATGTGTGTAAAATAAAGTTGTTAAAACTGATGTTTCAACAAAATTACTGTGATTATACTAAACAAAACAGTCATCATTATTCTTTAAATGATATCACGCAAGAACATGAGTCGAAACGCACGATGTCGATTGGGATTTTCAACTTTTTAAAGTTCATCGCTATCGCTCATCGAAACGTTCATCGTGTAACGTCCGTCGACGTAGTCTTTTTCAACTCTTCTAACACTGTCGTTCGGTCCAGCTTCGTATGGACAGAACGCACTATGCTCAGCGTACGGGTGGTACGCGTAATGATGTAGATGGTGTTGATCAAATGTAGCCGAGCCGAACTTATTAATCACGAGACCGATCGCATTGTGTCCTAATATCGGTAATCCGCCAGGGCTGATCATTCGGTTTGTCAAAAAGCCAGCATTGCCACTAGTTTTTGCAGCGAGGTACTTAAAACTGCCAGAGCCAATGCTGCTACGTGCCTCGGAACACCGCAAAGGAGTCGCGTACTTAAGGCTCTGTTGCGAGCTACAACTTCTCACGCTTACTCGCAGCGGATCCTCCGAGTAGCACTGCGGAAATTTTTTCAAGTCTGTAGTCGCGACCCGTGTCATTGTCGGTGTCATCGTCGTCATCGTCGTCATCGTCGTCGTACATGCCACATAATTGTTCAATTGACATTGCTCGGACTCGTGCTCCGTCTTAATAATTGATTCCTCGTCGTAACGCTGCAGGTACTTATGCATATCGGACCAGTAAGTCTGCTGGTTATCCGCGTATTTCTCGGCTATTATATTGCTTTCCGAGCAACGGTGATAATACTCGTCTCTGCAACGCTGAGGGTATCTTTGTAGATTCTCTTCGCAGCGGTACGCGTGCTTTTGGCAGTCTGGGGCACGAGGGGATCTCTCCTGTTGGTCCCAGGGGGTATCGATACAAGGTCGAGGGCTACCATTATATTTAACGGCAGATGAGTACGTATCGGGCGAGTACTGACTCGAATACGCGGGCAGGTCATTGGGGTATCGGGACAGTTGGTGAGCGCCGGCGCTCAAAGCGGACACGAGGGACTCACCGTTCATCGGCTCGACATGTGGCGATGAGTGGGGCTGCTGTTGTTGCCGTTGATGATTCGAGACGAGGTTGTTCGTGGACCCCGTATCATCACTGCCACTAATCGGTACTGCTACTCCATTTGACTGGAAAAAATTTATTTATTTAGTACTTCGTGAATTTATAATTAAAATAATTATTTTGATTAACTTCATAAATTGTTATCCATTTAGAGTTATTAATTTTGTTTTTTTATGTATCTATAAGAAGCAAAACGATAAGCTAGTCAGAATTTTTACAAATGATATTATAAAATTTATTTAAACTCAGTTCTTTCAATAGATTAAAAGAAAAGTAATTTTTCTCGTTGAGTAAAATCTGTATGTATAATAAAATTTTACAAACTTTTTATAATAAAATTAGAAGTAAAAAAGAATAATTATAAATTCAATTTAAAGTCCTTGTCAGAAGATCGACAAATCGAGTAGTTTAATGTATGCGCTTCATTTTATAAAAAGAAATGTTACGTTTGACAAATGTAATTTTGTCAATTCTAGGAATTAGCTTACCTGCGGCTGTACAATTTTCACAGTACCATAAGTCTTATCAGTTACTATACAATCTTCACTGACTCTCTCTTGTTCAGCTCGATACTCTGGCGTGACGACGCCTCTTCGGTCTAAAAATAAAATACAGTTGTATAAAATGAATAATAAGAATAATCGATATATTCGTTTCTAAAATCAGATTATTACCAATAAGGCTAGGAGGTGCTGGACCACAAAGTACATAGAAACAATTTCCGCAAATGTTTCTTTGACTATATGGGTTAAAGCTTTCTTGTCCTCTCTTACTCGTAAAGGAACCTTTAATCTGTAGATAAATAAATAAAAAATGTAATTTATGTTTATAATAAATAATACTTTCAAATCTTAGATTATTCAATTTTATAAATCATGATTTATTATAAAAGTTCTCAATTTTGATAATATTAGCAACATTATTGGTATATTTCAAGAGAAATAGAAACATGTCATTTTTAATAATTAACAATTTTCAGTTTTAATGATGACATCAAAAAAAAAAAAAAAAAGTATTTATCAATATACTAAAACTGAAAAAATTAATGTAACTTAAACGTATACAAATAAGTTGTTATCATCTTAGGTCATTGACATTTTAATACATGTCTTTGATACAATTTAACATAACTCTCTTTAACACAAATACATTATCGAATACTTCAAAATTTATGTAATAAAGGATATAACAGCGATCAAATAAAATTTCTATAAACACGTTCCTTATCTATTTATTTAAAAACTAAAAATAAATATAAATAATAACTTATTGCTTTATCTATTTCATATTAATTAATGCATTTCATATCTTTAACATAAAATTGTGTAATAAGAAGAAACGTACATCTTCATTAGTAGTTTGATTACTTGTTGCGAGGTATGTATGAAAACCAGCCAATCCTAAAATACTCCATACAGAAAAGAAACATACAACACCCACAACTACGCTACCTGGAGATAATCTTACAGCTTCTAGAAAAGGCTTGTTGTCTCTTGTTACTGTAATAATAAAAAAATAATTTATTTAATAATATACATATATATATATATATATATATATATATATCAATTAGTAATGTGCATTGAAACAATAATAAAACGGACATATAATTAAAATAAAAGAAGAAGATTTAATTTCCAATTCGAAGAAAGACTAGTGCTAGCTGTTATTGCAAAACAAAATTTCTATACATTTAAAAAAGTATTGTCCAAATATAAAATTTATAGGCTTATTTGAATTAGTTGATTTTCGAAAATCATAAAAATATTCGTTCTTTAAATATTATCATTATTTTATAACTTTAAATGCATCCTATACACTTCTCCGTTTAGTTTGCCGTAAAAAATAAAATTACCGAATTATATTGTTCTAATAATTTGAAAAATGTACTTACACATTATAAGATGTGTGACTGCACACGCAAATATAAAAACGCATAAAAATGCTAATGATACTATAAATGCATAGAAGTAGCGATAATTTCTGCGACCTACACAATTTCCCACCCATGGACAATGATGATCAAATCTTTCTGGAAATTTTAAAAAAGTATTAAAAATTTTATTACATATCAAGTAAGACTATAATACTTTTCATTACTTATTATTTAAAAATAAAGTCACGAAACTGTGGAAATTTTATTAAAATTTTTTATTTTCTTCCAAAATACGTAAAGCAATGATAAATAAAATATTTTAGTAATAACATTGTAACTCGAATTGAATAAAAACGTTATTAAATAATTGTAAATTCTTATTTTATATACTTATGACTATGTACACAGAATTTGATAATTGTTGACGGTATTTTTTAAACATTTATTACACAGATGTAAAGTTAAGCCTTATGATAAATATCACTATTATATGTACATGTCTTTTAATAAATGAAATAATATTTGTCAGTCTGAATTGAAAAAGTAAAAATTTATTGATGTTAATTTGAAATAAAAACATAATTGCAAGTATAATATACTTCTAAAAAGTTTTTGCACTTAAAAATCTTTAACACATATTGATATTAATAATTTCCGAATTTGACAATGTTTTGTGTCATAATAAGGAGCTACATTATTGGTTATACATTACATGTAAGAAATTCTTTACTTACCAACACAATTATCACACAAACTACAATGTGACGCTCGTGGTGGTCTAAATATTTTACATGTGAAACAGTACTTTAATTTTACAGGTTGTCCCCTGACTAATACCTCTTTTGTCCTTGGAGGTGGCCTGTACGTCGGTGAATTACCATTATTTGGCACTTCTACAATAACATTTCAAAAATTAAATACTCAACGTAGATAATTTTTCGTTATAAATAAATTATACCTATTTGTTTTTCGATGTATGCTGCTTCTTCGGGAGTCGCACGGGGTATCACACCAGGATCACTAAAACTAGTCCGAAAAAGGGCGGACATTACAAAAATAAACAACAAACCACCTATGACTGGTATTGCAGGCGTTATATTCTCTGCTAAGAATGGGCAGCTAAAACATATCACGCAAAAATATTAAATCAAGTCTGAAATTTAGATATACATAAAATAAACATTGTTTGATATTTAAAACAATTAACAATAATAATTTAACAATTTATAAATTAAAAGATTTTACTCTTATTAAAAATCGAAATTAATATAAGTTGTAACAAGCAATTTTAAATATCCATTTTTCTATATAAATCAATATAAAATATTACATAAAAAATTTTATATTGTACAACTAAATTAAAAATAATTTTTAATACATAAAATCTTCAAAAACATCTAGATTTTCAAGTATATTACAAATTTAAACAAAAAACTATAAAATTTACTATAAAATTAAATCATCAAAATGCTTAATAATGCTCACAGATTTAATCTTATTTATCTATAAATATATTTTTGCCATATACACATTGGATTATATCAAACATAATGTTAAACAACTCAGATACAAATATTATCTAAAATATATTTACTCAAAGGCAAAAAATAATCCACTTGTCCCAGCAATCAAACATACTGTAACGTAAAAGACACCTGTTTCTGGTGCCATCATCACACGTCCATCGCAGCAGAAACGATTTCTGCCTGGAAATAGCTCCCACTTTCTAGTGATTCGAGGCATTTTAAATTTGCTATTGTTTATGATACAACATCTGAAAAACAATATATAATAATTTAATTAAATTAATGCTTATTTGTTAATTGCTCCCAATATACAATCGTACTTTTATATAATTAAGAATAGTATAGACTGTACTATTTTATCTTTAATGAATGTAAATATCATAGTCCAATAAAATTATTTACATCAAATTAGGAACAACAAATTTTATATAATATAATTTGATTTTGCAATTTTGGCCATTAAAATAATAAAATAATTCAATAATCAACTTTTATTTACAAAGTGTTTAAGAACAAAATTTCATTATTAAAAAAAAAAAAAAAAAAAAAATCATTTTTCGAGTATTATTCGTTCATTTCTTTGCTCATTTTTCCTACAGTTTAGCATATAGTAATATAAAGTTTAATTGATTTTTACGATAAATATTAAAAAAAACAACGTTGGAAGAAAAATAGTTGGATGCTCTATTGTAACATTGAAATTCTCTTAGTTCAATTATACATTCATTAATATGTTAGATAAAATTATATTTAAGTATATTGAGGAGAATTAACATTGTACAATATCGTTTGTCAATAAAATCAAATTAGCGACATCTTGATAAGTTCCAATTAAAAATCAATAGTTGAACAAACATTTGAACAATTTCGAAATATTTCGGATGTAACTTTTATATTGTGTCACAATGTGGGCGCACGCGCGCACACCCAACAAACACAAAACGTATCACATCCCTATAAAAATATAATTTCCCTATAAAAATACATGAGAGGTGGGGTTCATGTGCAAGCGTTGGAGCAACGTACAATCAACAAGTGTGAACCAGTAACTTTCTTGTCTCGAGAATTTAAGAGAGAATTGAAGTAAACGAAAAAGAAAAAAATAGAAAAAAATAAAGAAATGAAGCATCATATATTGCCACGTATTATTAAATATAAATTACTGTACAAAGCTCATTACAGCAATAGCAACATCGGATGAACAATTTTCGTTTGACGACAGGAAAAATTCGATATTCATTGAAATTCATGACCAATCATCTCATCCATTCTTTCGGCCGTTGATTTTCTAATTTACAGTAATCGATATTTAAAATACATAATTTAATAATTCTTTAAAATTCATAAGATTTCAATAAGTAAAAGTAAACGATTCGATTATAAATGATTATTAATAGAATTTAAACCTGTCAATTACCATTTTTAATCACGTAACTGTAAATATAAACTTCAAAGATTGCGCTCGGGAAGCGCTTTTCAGATACATCAACAATGCATCAAAACATGTCGTGAAAAATGGCAAAGAAATCTTTCATAAAACATAGAGTGTCAATAATTTTATTTAACAGCATAAGTACACACTCACACATAAAATATGCATATATTCGTCCTCTTGATATATCGCTTCTTCCCCCTCGCTCTCTTACTCTCATTTACATGCGTGCGCGCGCGCGCGCACGCACTCGCTCGCACACACCTTGCTCGCACGCTCTCACTCGTTCGCACGTTCGCACGTTCTCTCGTTCTCGTATATAGAAGTCGACAAAACCTTTGCCTTTGGCTGATGTACACCTCCTTAGCCGTTTCTTCTTCCTTCGAGCGTTCGCTCTTCTCTAGTCAACTTAATCTAATTCGCCAGGACCTCGACATCACCATCCTACTCTCGGCACTTCTCAGCCCACTGCGCCCCCCCCCTGCTCCGAGGGAGCGATGAAACGGGATGGGCGAGCAAGCCCTCAACAACGCGACCGACCGCGCACGTGCTTATTATCGTTGACAGTAGGTTCGACTGGCACCCAGGGCATCGGTCTCCGCAGCTGAGACTTCACCGGGAGGCGCTGCCTGTAAATCCATCCTCGTCGCACGCGCGCGCGCGCCCGCGCGCTCACTAAAATTGGGTCAAACGACGCTCGCCTGTCATTTACGCGCTCTCTCCCGCGTCTCGCAAGACTTACTACGATTGCCCCAAAGCTTCCCGATGCCTCATTTCGTCTCGACCTTCCTCACCAATGCCTCCCTACCCACGGGAGATCACGGAGAAGGCAGCCCCTGGTCCCCCTCGCCCTCAAAATGCCTTCCTTTCCTCGCCACTCGGCCCTCGGTTCTCTCCCACACTTTTCTCTCCCGCGCTCATGTATACATAGAGGCACGGCTGAGCAGCCTCGACAAACTTATTACACCTTCGAACGCATCGTCTCGGCGACCGAGCGATTATCAGGGCGACGACGCGCTGCTGCAACCAACCGAATCGGTCACTTCCACCGACGATGTCCATGCACGCGCGCACATAAGTAAGCGAGGCGAGTGCGTAACGCTAGCGTGGCGATAACTTACGGATCTCGTTCGCGATTTTCCCGGAGGGCCGCCGCTATGCCATTCGCGCGGACTTGCGGATATTTGACGCGTGTCGCGAGCTACGTACCGCAGGCACGAATCGCGAGCCTCCGTATGACGATATTGGGCCGATGCACAATGCAGGTAAACGCAAGTGCACGGCGGCGACGGACGTGGAAAATGACGGAGAGGTGAGTGACCAAGCGAGCTTGGTCCCACGCACACTCGATGGTACGTCGCGTGCGTGCGACGCGCGCCGTTCAACTACGTTGGATGATAGTAGGCCTAAGCCACGGTGGTGCATGCACCTTGCAAGTGCAACTGTGCAAGACGGGGTATTGCTGGGACAATTTCCTAAGCACAGCGGAGCGCCAGCTGATGGTGATAGTTTGAGGTTATACCTGCGGGCGATTCTAGGTGCGCGCGCGCACTCTTAGGGAGTTCCGCTATTTGAGATCGGCGGCACCTAAGCACTTAGAAGCCGAGGCGCGTAAATTTGATTGGAATTTGTAAATTGCCGCATTACTCTCAGTGCGTGTATGTATATTCGACAAAGATGAATTGGTCAAACTAATTAGCGATCGACTGATTGTTGCCGTGCACGGCTTCTTTCTTTTGGAAATCAATAAATGCTCACTCCTATTGGAGCGTGAAGAATATCTGGACTCTCGCGTGCCTCGAGATAATGATGTATTAGTTCGGACGAGTAATTTATTTAACCGTGTGCAGTTGAAAATGGTATTTTAATGAAATGTCGTAATTACCGTGATTTAATATTATTTGGCAAGGTGTGAAAATAATGTCGTATAAAATATTACTGGTTTATATCGGGTTATTTCGTCGGCCAACTGATGATATTCGACTAAATACATAACAGCGTTTTACTAAAAATTCGATTAAGATAATCTTTGTTGATGATAATAACGATATTACTCGTCATTGAAATCATATGACAATTAAATTTTTTCAACAATCACATCATCGTCATCAAGATAAAAAATTCGATTAAGATAATCTTTGTTGATGATAATAACGATATTACTCGTCATTGAAATCATATGACAATTAAATTTTTTCAACAATCACATCATCGTCATCAAGATAAAAAAAAAGTTTATCATTTAAAAAAAAAAAAAAAAAAAAAAAAAAAATCCGTTTAAAAGTGTCAAGTATCGCGAGTATTACAAATTCGATAAGAATTTATTGCAATTAAGTAGGGTTTTGATGTCGATCGATATTACAGTGTTAAAACGTTCATGTATGTAATACTAGCAATGCTATAGCTCTAAGCTAACGCTGGTAAAACTTTAGTTTCGTCAAAGTACATTACATCGATCGAAAAGACATTATAATTTCAAGCCGATCAATATTCACTCCATATACGTATTACTGATAGTGTTTACCAATAATTAATGAGTCATAGTTTTCAGAGCTTGGATAGATAAAATTGATAATGTAAAAAAATTTGTTGCAAGTTAAAATCTTGACCTAAATTTCAGGATGATTTTATTTTTAACGATAATGGTGATCTATATTTTAAAAAAATATTTTTATCCAAATCCTTTCGTTACTAGATCTAACATAATTATTTAGATTCCGTAAATTTTAAAGCATCTGATGGAGCTTTTGGCTCATAGGAATTTTTATAAAGTCTTGAGCATATTTGAGACGAAAAATATAATAAATGTATTTTATTTAATTTATTGAAAATATATATAATTTTATAGAAATGATAAACAAGAATATTTACTTTTCAATATATTTAATGTACAGTGGTTTTGAAAGCAAACCGTCCTTGATAAAACATGTTTTACTTACTTGATTTAAGTAATAAAAATTAATAACAATTAGTTAGGAACAATTATCTAAAATTCAATAAATTAGAAATTCAAATAAAATTTAAATCAACAAGATTGACAATAATTTACATTCTCATATCTTTTAACATATTTGTTATTTCATTGACTTTTTTCTACATTACCGCCATTTTTGGAAATTAAAAAATATTCTTACTAAACATTAATTTCTAGCAATAAAAAGTGTACGATCGGAGTGAAGAAATGCGTATACTTTTGCTGTATGAATGTTATAAATATGTGAAGGTCAATAATGTTTGTGTGGGAATCCTAATTTTGATAAGCTATAAAAACAATGAAAGTTCCACTTTATATTTGCAGGTATTGCATACAAAAAATACTCGCTTTATTTAATTATGTATGTATTATGAAAATTATAGTGTTTAAAAATTGGCTAAAATTTATAATGAGATATAAGTAGTAAATTCTATTAAACATCAATGTAAAAATAATTTTGCTAATTAGTTTTGCACGATAATAAAAATAATTATTCATTATCATCTTCAATAATGTTCAATGGTATCTTAACTTACTATTTGTTTTCTAGAAATGTCGATAAGACTTTGCTGTTTATTTACCTTTTGAACCTCATGTTGATTAAACACGTCTAAAATCATGATAGTCGAACGAGAAAAAAAAATGTAAAGATGAATGAAAACATTAAATAAATCGTATTTGAGAATCAACAATATGAAAAATTAGATTCTATTAGTATAATTCAATATTAAAACTACAATGAGTAGAAAGTATTTAAATATTGAATTCGTGTTATCTTACATCCCCATTCACTTGCTTAATTGTGAACTAATGACTAAATGACCATGCAAATTTGTCCAGGTGCGGTGCTCATTCGTCCGTATATTAACCGCGCTATTTAACTTTGATCGTCTAATCTGTGCATCAAAACTTCTGTTATCTCTGCTCATCTATAGTGTTAACAAATATTTCGCCAGTTAATATTATCATATAAAGATGGACGGTTTAGTTCTTTTTTTTTTATTTATTTTTTTTTTATTAATCTTTTATGAGATTCTAAAAGATTAACGTGACTATAGAGATTTATTTAATTGATCGAAATTTGATATTATGTCAACGGCACAAATGAGATAATATTGAGTCGATATTAAAATATTTGGACTTGTTAGATAGATAATACGACATAAAATATTCTGTTTATAATTAAAATTTAGATAGTACACCAGCGGTTGCAATACAGCGAAATAGAAACGAATGGTAACGTATCACTTATAAAGTCGTGGGATTATAGTAAACAATTTATCGAATAGATGCTAATGTAAATTCATTTGTACATTAAATGACTTGAAAATTACTGTTCAATCGTTACAACAATAAAGAATGAATGAAATTCGTATAAAATCCAAATGTGCAAAATTGCATAAAAAGGTTTTAACAATGTATATCCACACTATTTATTAGTATTCAAATTACCATTAACTGATCTGACCTTAATAATAATAATAATAATAATAATAATAATAGACAGAGGATAATTCATACATTATGGCCTAGATCATTATTTCTAATTAGATGCCAGTTAAGCATTAATTAAAAGGTAAAAACGTTTGTAATTTATAAAATGAAAATGTGCAGTAAATTTAATCATTAGCTCAGCTCGCGTCAATTAATAAATATATACATTTTGTTTTATAATAATGCAATATAATAATATATGTAGTACGAAATTTTATAAATATACAAAGAACTGATATTAAACAGCGATTTAAAAAAATAATCAGATGTATACAACAAAGTGTAGATCGATCTTTTCATTAATAATTTTCACGATGAATGAGTATTTGTAATTTACTTTTCCTATATATTACAGCTCTAATGATGTTGTATGTACTAAAATAGCCTTGTATTATGATTTGTGACTATTTTTTTTTACTAAATAATATATTTTGAGTCTAAAAATGAGACTATAAGTGTATACTTATTAAATGGCACTTATCGTAATACGATAATTACATATTTTATAACAATTTTACATTATTCTATTGATTGCTCTATGTCCAACTAGTAATTGAAATTGAAGTTTCTAAATAAATCACTAGATAATTAACGCTTAAACTTCATTTACTTATACTGTAAATAATAAAATTATTCATTTGTTGAGAGTAATGATTTTGATCTTGGAAATGATTTATGATGATCAATATGAAGCAATATTAAGCATTTTTATTAAAAGGATTGTGTACTTTCAAAGTACAATATTTATTAACACCTACAGATGCCATACTAATCAAAGTTAAATACATACAAGTTTCAAAATTTTACTCATTTAATTAGAAACAAATTAAGCTGTCGGCATACATACATACATACACAGACGCAAACAAACAGACAAGCAAACATGCGCGCGCGCGCGCGCACACACACACACACATATTATTAAGCACTTTATT